ATTAGTATGATTGTGTGGCAAGTACAATCATACTCTATGCCCAGGGAAGTCGAGAAATTTTACAACCCGAAAAATTCCTAGACCGGACCGGGAATCGAACCCAGTCACCTCCAGCATGGTCTTGCTTTATAGCTGTGCCTTTACCGACTGAGCTAAGGGAGGCCGACAACATAGTAGAAGCGATTCGATGCGTTGGCAATAAGCTAAGCGCTTGCGTGAAAGCTGCCTCTATGAGCGTTCATGCGATTCACCCTATCATAGTGAAAGCGATGCGAAGAGGTGTGCAGCGTTCAGCAAAGCGACAGTAGAGCTGTTAGGGTTATGTTTTGACACCTGCGAACGCAAGTGGACTGATAGTCTTGTTTGTCACTAGATTCAAAATCAGATCGAATGTGTCCATATCCAGTCTTGTGTAAGACCGAAACTTCTCTGGATATTTACGAAGATCTTCGTACAATCTGAAAAACTCCTCAACTCGCCTTCTATTTCGATTGATCGGGTGAACTAAAAAATTCTCTTTTTTGTTCATTACGAAATTAACCGTGGAAGTGGAATATTCCTCATCGGATGAATCCACGTTGAATTGAAACAAATTTGAACAAATATTTTGCACTGCGCGCTCGACTTTGATGTTTTCAAAAACGCTTTCACTATGTCATAGGTTGCTTTGCTTGCCGCTTCATTTCGCTTTGACATTTGCTATCGCATCTAGCATTGGGCGATCTTGAGGCAAGAATCAATCTTAGTGAATCGATTCATTTTTTTTTGAAAATAATCGATTCACCGATTTAATCAATCATTTTGAATCGATCTTTTTGAATTGATCTTTTTAATCGATTTATTTTTCAAAATGGCACAAAAACGTTTCAAATATAACGGATCATAGGAAAGTTGGTGCAAATGAAGCCAAGTTCAGTCTAGAGTTGATACGTAAGCTATCTTGTTGTGACAATTCACCTATAATAGTCATGTAGTGTGATTTTTTTTTGTTTATTAATTTATTTGATAAGGCTCAACCGAATTAACTTTACAGAGCCGAGGATTCTTGTTCACTATACAATACATCTTAAAACTATAGTCAAAAGGTACAACACAATAAAAATTTTGTCTTCCGCTATCCAATAAACCTCCTCCACCAGAACGGGAGCCGCTTCCAGTGGTTTCATTGTGTGGCAGTTACGCCATCGGCAGAGCGCTTCCATTGCAGCAATGGACGCAAAACGTGGACAGCACTCACACATTCATCACGAAACGGTTGCTTTCCAAAGTCGATGACGCATCGACTGAAAGAACTGCTGATGAAGAACAATGAGGAGGACCACACCATGGTTGCTGCCGAGTAAACAGACGATCGCTTGACACACATTGAGAGTGGTCTGCTTCTGTCGACAGCCGAATGAACATTGATTTAGTGTGATGATTGATATCATTTAGAAATAAATTGTGTAGTACGTACGCAGTGAATGTTGTGAGTGTAACATACATTGCTGGTCATTAAAATAGGTGTAGGCAAAATAAATACGAAATTATAGGTTATGTTCATTCAACTTCATTTTATTCAAATTTAAAGTTAAGCATTTGATAGTGTAATAAAAATTAAATGATTGCACGAGAAAACTCAACGTTAAAACATTAAATGACTCACTTATTAGAATCATATATAAAATATGCCTAGTCAGTGAAATAGGTGTTTTGCATACAACCACATAACATATGTGCAACTCGATCTTCAAAAATGGACCCCATTTCAGTGCTTTTAAGTGGTACAGAAGGACTAGCTGTGAAATGAGAAGGGCGATCAAGGGGCTAGTCAATTATTTTAAAATAATTCTAGCGTGGTTTATAATTCTACGTGTTCTTAGCACTCCTGAACTCATGTTTTACTATTTCTTTAACTTTATCGGTCCAGTTCCTTTAACTTTAAATATAAGACAGTAACAATGTATAACAAAAATGATAACTCGGCTCTGTAAAGTTTATTCGATTGAGCCTGTACAAATAAAGTAATTAATAATAAAAAAATATTTCTTTAACCATTTGTGTCCTTTATTTATAATTATATAGCAAGCTTTAACAAATTCATCACCTTGCTTCACACAGCAAACTGTGGTAAACTTAGAAGAAAAATTTATGTAACATTTTCTTCTTTGGACATTTTCTAATTTCTTGGAATCAATTGGATTCTTTGAGGGTATTGACGTAAATGCATATTCGTTATCTGCATTAAAAATGGAACCCAAACCCAAAATTTCATCAATTTTGGTACACTGGAACTATTTTAAATATGTACAATTTCATTTGCAAAAATCACCTTATTAGCGTCCCTCGGTGTCACTTTGTATGGGAGCGAGCTGTCAGTTTGTCAGTTTATTTTCAAGCAGTGAAGTTTTTTTTTTTTAAATCGAGATGAAAATGTGTGGGTTCGAAAAAAATATCGCTGTGCTCAGAAAACGAAGCTCTTTCAGATGATATACAAAAACCGATATATTTTTCAAAATTAAAGAACCCAATTGCATCAAACTTTTATTTCATTTGGTTTCGTAGGAGGAAAAATACGGCCGCGTAAATTGGGTTTAAGTGCTTAAAGTTTGAAGTCCAGACAGAAGCAGAAAAATTTTGCAACAAGTTGTCAAGGTTTATACAGAAGTACCATTTTTAAAATATGCAGTGTTTTGAGCTTACCTTGCATCGTTCCATTCGCAAGAATTTTTCAAGCAGCGTGATAAATGAAATCGAGCAATTATCGATACGTATAATATCCAAGATTTCAACACTCCCTATGTTTCTCAATTGCCGTCAACTGAAGGTTTCTTCTCAAATCCCAACACAAAGAACTACTTAAATTTCTTTGTAACAAAAACCGTGGTAAGGTTGATCCTGGTTGATCGAAACGGCAAGGGGCAAGACATTTTGTTCGACCACTATGGCTAAGGTCCTTGGATGGGACTCACAGCAAGGTGTATCAAAGCTAAGCACTATTTACAAACGGAACAATCGTTTGGTTCTATTGGAAGTTGTTTCGTTTGTGTTTTTTTTTTAGAAAAAATGTAAAATCTGACTGACTGAAAATACTAGTTAAAAAATCCTTCGAAAAGCCCCCTGTCAAGCTATTCGAAAAAAGAATGCCCACACGTCAAACTCCGTCAAGCATTTAAACAGCAGAGAAACAAAAGAGACGACCAATTATCTGGACCTCAATTGTTTACATAGCATTGTACATTATCTTGACTATTGACAATTTGCCTTTTCGGTCACTCTGTAACTCCTTACTTCAACCATACAGAGGAAATGGCTCCAATGTTGGCCTATTCGTCTAAGATTGGGCCCATAGCTAAAAATCTGTTTTAGGGAATTTTAGATGGTCGGAGTGTAAAAACAGGTAAGGGCAGAAAGTTCTTAATACAAATATCCTAAATAGGATTGGGCGATCTTCAGAGAAAGATCGATCTTGACGAATTTGGCTCTAGAATCGATCTACTGATTAAATCGGTACCAAAGAATCGATCTTTGGTAGATCGATCTTATGATTTTAATTTTAATTGAACTTTCTGACGTTTGACGTTTCTGACACTTGCGTAATCCCATTTCCAAGTACTTAGTTTGCTATCCTCACTTTCGCTCTAGCCAAAAATGTGGGCTTGTTATTGTTATGCTCACTTTCTCACACGGACTATACGCTTGTTCACGTTGGTACCCCAAGAAATATGTTGTCGTGACGGTAAGGAGCAATGAGCATAGGAGGGAGGTAGCGAAAACCTTCAAATATTGCTGTATTCATAAATATCGGAAACGCAAATAGTGACGCCATATTAGGGATAGAGCGCGGTGCTGATGTTGACGTTATGTTCGGTAAATTTACCTCGCAGTCTGGGGTGAGAGTATATCGTTTTTTCAATGTATATACAATTTCAAAATTTAACACCTACTGTTTTTCTTAAATTCTAAAAGATCGAAAGAAGAGATCGATTTTTTCGTGGACAAAGAATCGATCCAAAAAATCGGAAATCGGGATGAAAAAGATCGATCTTCCAAAGATCGATTCAAGATCGCCCAATCCTAGCTGAATCTGCAGCAGAGCTATCACATTCTAAGGCTCTGAACCATTTGCTGGATTATTTTAACTTTTGGTTAAAATTTGACAGATGAAAAGTTATCGATTAACCCTGCTATCCGAGCATGGTTATTTCTGACAGACAAGAAGTTAAATTTTGACAACCGTGGCTCGAAAACCGGTCGATCGACAGCACGGGGATTTTCGAACATAGAAAATAACTTTCGAAATGTCACTTTTAACCACGAGTTAAATTTAACTCGGCAAATGGTTCACAGCCTAACACAGCTTTCTTCCAAAATACACACACACACACATTGACATTGGGGACGACTTTGTTTAAGATACAAGGAAAAAATTGCTTTGCTGTTATGAGATGCCGCACGCTTAGTAAATGAAGATTTTGAAGATTTCCTGTTCGTAGATTCGCTACCGTAAGATTTTTCGACCATCTAAAATTTAGATTTAGATTTGTCGTACCCCTAGGAAAGCTAACCCTAAATGACAACGTCAAAAGACTCAAAATACAAACTGTTCAACGCAAAACGTCAAGCGAAAAACAAGCTTCAGTTGGCAATTTTGTGTGCAGGATAACCAATTGAACATTGTATGTATGTACCGAGTGCCATATAAGCTTCCACCTCACCATTTATCGATACCAGGTAGCAGTCAACCAAAGCTGAAATTTTATCGGATCGAACCAGCTTAAATGCACATAATCCGCTTCGGAATTTTTATCTCCCCACCGCCACCGCCACAACCACAACCAACCAGCGCCATTTGCATACCATACCCTTATATGTGCAGTCAGAGCACATAGCAATTTCACAATCGGAATAATCGGAAACAGCATTCGGAATGCGCTCCAATGGGGATGCCTTTCCGGCCAAATAAAAATCCTGAACCAGCATTTTAACGTTCGTCCTTTTTCCTCTCCGCAATTTTCCAGGTTTCCGCCGGTCAGCATTTACACCTGAGTGGTGACCTCAAGACTGGCGTTTCCGTGGCAGCCCAGCAGGGGGTGTTCTTCAGTCAACAGCAGCAGCAACAGCAACAACAACAACAGCAACAGCAGGCAGCCCAACAGCAGCAATCCAATCAGCAATCTCAGCAACCCGGTGGCGGTCCTCAGCAATCGCAGCAAGCTCCTGGAGGTCCCAATCCACAACAGCAGCAAGGCACCAATCAAAGCAATCCGAATGGCGGAAACAATAACAGCAACAATCCAAATGGGCCAAATCAAAACAACGGCAACAACAATAATCCTCAACAGCAACAGCAGCAACCAAATCAGGCACCTCCGAATACGTCGCAAGGTAAGAGGGCGAAAAGCTTTGAATTTTACTTTTTCTAGGTGGAGGGGGTGGGTTTTGGTAAACATAAACAAAAATCATCGCCTGTCTACGATGAAATCGATATTCGAGGTTTTTGGATTGGGGTGGTTGATTTGAGTTTGTGCATTTTTCCTAGATCTTTTTTTTTCAGCATTTAGCATTTTCTTCATTTTCAAATGAAAACTTATTTACGTCGCTGTCATGCTGACGCGGAAGGCGAAGCGTTGCGTCGCGTGTGCAAAGGAATTTTTATAGTTACATTATATTTGAAGCTTCGCTTCGCGTTCCGCGTCAGTATGGCAGCGGCCTTAAGAGAGCAAGAGGAGAGTATGATTCTCTGACTCTTGTGCTTGTCTACTGCCTACTGTCGCTCTCACCTCCACCGCCACCCAAAAAAAATAACGGTGGGACTTGGCTCGCTTCCCACGGTTTGCCCAATCAAGGGTAGAAGGTGGCAATGAGAGCGTGCCTCATTTGACACCCAAACAACAACAACAACAACCGAATCGACAAAGCAAACCATGATGAGCGATCCTGAAAGCCCTACAAAATTTCCTTTGCTTGTTTTGGTGGGGGGAAGCAGTGACGTCTCCAGGGAGGGGTTGTCGGGAAATAAAATATCAAAATGTCGGCAGTGAGCGTTCATGAGGGCCTAATTGCAGTGATCGATTTTCTCTTTTGTTGAGAACTCGCTTGGATTAACATTTATCGGTGCGTTTGTTGTTGGACAAATTTCAATTTGAAGAGAATCGATCATCGCAGTTGGGCTCTTATGCATGCTCACTGTCGAATTGTTCCCAACATTATCAGCGCGGGGCAAAACAACTGAGATGTAGTTCAGTATTTTCAAAAACTAAAACATGTAAAGGATAGAACTTTTTCTGTTGATACTTTTGTGTTTAAGCCTAAATATTTTGATATATTCAACCAAGCTGTCCCACCCCCTGTTATCACCCACCCATTCAGAGCAGCGCAGATTCGCAACATTGTGACATTGCGAACAAAACTTCTCCTCGATTCGGTCTCCGTTCCAACGAAAATCTAAAAATCCACAACATACACGCATTTATCCACTCATTATTCGGTTGTCCAAATTTATTATCGGGATTGCGGTAACTCACTGTTTACCCTCCGCCTCTCTCGAGCATTGAAAGTTGCACACTTCAAGCGAGACGGCCGGAAGGAAGGTAGGGGAAATTTTCCCTTAAATTGTAGCTCGCATGCGCCGGAAATCGGTTTTCTCCACTCTCACTTCAGGGAAGAAGAAAAAAAAAACCACCGGGAGAAGAAGAATGGATCTACGTGAATAAATTTGAAACCTTCGTTCGTTCGTACGTTCGGTTTGTTGGAGTGAATCTTGAATTCAGAACACGAGGGACAGACCGTGGATACGCGTATCGAAGCAGTTGGTGGGGTGGTTTTTACGAGCTTTGTTTCAATCTAGATTTTAATTACTTCTTACTCAATAAAATGGGAAATTCTAATTAACGAACGTTGAGTGCAGGTCCAATTCAGTGCAATCTTTTCCGACAACCTGAATGCATAGGTATTTATAGACAAAACAAAATTACTGAGCAGCATCAAAGTTATTTTTTATTCGTATGGGTTATTTCGTACCTACTGTGACTTTGCCGCTCGCTCTTTGAGAACATCCACAGTTGATAACTGATAGCTTTTCAATAATTATAGGACCTACATAATTCAATTAAAAAAAAATAATAAAGACACGACCGCAGTATGACGTAGAACTACGCCAAATTGATGTATGTCATGCATTTTTGAATATTATACTTTATCCTAAATTTTTCAAGTATTTCAATGTTTCGGTAATAGTTCAAAACTCGTGACAATTCATGTTAGCATAATTACACCACGCATGAGATAATGTATTTAAATTAATGTATCGGTTAAGAACTGACAGAATTTTCCCTACATAACTACCTTGGCTTGATCAATGTTGATCTATGGACCTATTTTTGTCCTTTTCGCACTGTGTCTAAATGTATGTATGCCGTGTTTTTTTTCTATGAATATAACATATGGACATGAAAAATGTGTGTTTGGTGAAAATTCTACCTTTCTTGTTTCTAATAATACTAAAGAGTGATTAATGTTCTCATAATATGATTTTATTGAACGTTTTTATTCAGCAATGAATTTGAATCATGATAGGACCTATTATGTACAGTACCATTTGTACGCTTAAGCGCCCGCAGGGCTGAGTGTAATAAACCAATCAACAGCCGCTAAATGAAAGGTATTATGGTCACATAGAGCACATATTTTGTGGAATCGGTCAACCGGTTCCGGAAATATGACCGGAACTTGCTACGGTTTATATGAGGCATGAGGCTAATTGCGACCTCAAACAAATAAAACTTATCATGTGACAACTCAAATCACATTCGAATTTAAAGAAAGAAAAAAACTAGTCATTTTGGGGAGTCCAGTGCCACATTGGCCATCCCGATCAGAAAGGCATAGCAAAATTATAACAACTGGAGTTATTTATTTAAAAACAAAAATTGTAACAGAAAGTGTTATAAACATTGGTTGGTTGGTTGTTAAAATAACAAAAATCATAACAAAAATTCGTCTAGTGGTAGCAAAATTATAACAGAGGTTGATATGATTATATCAAAATTATTACAAAATTAGATATAATCTTTCGTGTTTGAAAATATACATGTATAACAACCGTTGTTATAAATCAGGTATAAGAATTGCCATATTTCTGGCAATGGTAATGTCATTTTTCAAATCTAAGTTAAATAATTAATCGCAAATAAAGTTTATTATTTTCGGAATTCATCAACTGTAGGTCATTTTAATTAAATGCGAGTCATTTTCCTGGATTCTTTTTCCATAATATGCCAGAATTCACTTCATAATGTGTAGTGCTTCATCAGTCAAAGATTTTGCAGCATCTGGTTTGTCTCCCCGATAAATGCGGAGTTACAACAACTGATCTGAGAGAAAAATTTGTTGTTTTAGTAATTCTGAATGAATGAATGGAAAATTAAGGCTACTGTTATGTACTCAATTTCTCTTGGGGTAGATTCATTTGCCCTTACCACAACAGCACAGACGAAAACCTACCTTGTGATCGAGCCACCGACAGCTATGCACTTCACTGCCACCAGCGTATGGATCGAAGAGTCACCGCTGGCTGTACACGCTACAGCCACCAGCGACGGGATGCCTCTCTCAAACGAAGGACCACGACACAACTCGTGATCAAGCCACCGACAGCTGTGCACCTCACAGCCACCAGTAGTGGGACGATGAGCCACTGACAGCTGTGCACACCACAGCTACCAGCGTAGGGACGATGCACCGTTGGCTGCGCACACCACAGCGGACAGCGTAGGAACGATGGGTCGCTGATAACTCTTCAGCCACCAGTCGTTGAGCTGCCAACCACTACAGCCACCAGCGAAGTAAACCTCTCTCTCTCTCTCTCTCTCGAAGGACCACGGCAAAACTGCCGAACACAAGGCTCTGATGAGCAGGGAAACAGGAAAGTTCAACTCTTTTAAAAGTGTCCACTAGGTGGAACTTATGGAAGATGAATCGATCACCACATGCAACCAGTGGATGAACGAACAGGAACTGGACGAAGCACGAATGCTCGGGAAATCTCCGTTCTCGGACGAAAAGAATGAGACACTGTTCTCAATTCTACCTCTATTTATTCGCTGCTTCCTCTTCAATGGTTAAATGCACGATACAGAATGAAACATGAAATACAATGTTGTTTACTTTTATACTCTTTCATCGGCTGCGTCAGCCAATCAGGATGCGCCATTCGATGACGTCGTTCGTTTTCCTATTGGAAGCGTTCATCGCGTACAGCTACCTCGCACATATTTCACTTTTTCCGGTTCAAGTGGAACGAGTTTAACTGTGTTATGTGGCAGTTGAGCCTGATGCTTGGTTTCCGCCGTTTGTAGTCTTCCACGTAGATTGTTAGAGGATCTTCCATCAAATCATGAGACTCCTACCCAGACAACCAGATTGCACGTATATTGAATGTTGTTTTCGTGATATACAAACGTATATACAAACAAACAATTCGTATAGAATGCATAGAAATGGCTTATACGTACAAAAGTGGAGGCCATATACGTGCATATTTTAATTAAATGTTAAACGAGTTCATCTAACATCATATACGATTAAATCTGTAATAACATATTAATTTTGAAAAGTCTTACGATTTAATCCGATTTAATTTGTGATACAGTACGACGGAAAATGATTAATCGCATATAAGTCGGAAATTTGCATTCTATACGATTTAACTTAAACATAATGCGAGGTATGCCATTCTTATATGTCATTTTGACTTAAACTGTAGCAATTAACGATACTGTCTGTACATTGTTATACGACTTCTGGTTATCTGGGTATGGCGATGGAATTTCATTTCTCATCTGGTTCAGAAGCAGTAAGCAGCCAATCTATTTCGGATAGTTCATCACGGTCGGTATAGTTTTTCGATGAATCAGAAAAATCGGAAGATTTTATATATGCAGAATTCTTTGAAGGAAAATGAACGATGTTCCGGATCGGTATTTATTATCTTCTTTATTCAAGATAGACAAGACTGCGAACATCCTGTCTTTTTCAGGAGCCTTCAAGTTATGATCAATCGAAAAAAAAAATCATGACAACATTCGTGTCAAAGACATAATGTGGCACTTAATGTTTACATAAGGCACAAGCTTACCCAAGGAGGTTTGACTTAATGAGTATGTTGAATGTTTCTCTAAAGCTTTACCACTTTTACTAATACTTTCTCAGCTTCTAAAGGGTTTATTTTTGTATGAATTGTCAGTATGGGTATGTCATCTTCTTGTTCAATAATTTGTTTTCCTTGATTTGTTTTCCGTCGATCTTGTTTTCCGTGCTGGGCACCAATGCTACCGACGCCAGGGAGGTAGCTCCCACACCTGGACCCTACCTATCGACCCATCAAC